GGGCTACATCTGGATGGCAACCAGTCACCAGAAATGTTCCTCAGGGATCAATTCTAGGGCCAGTTTTGTCCAATATTTTTGTCAACCATCTGGAGGCAGGAGTTGAATGCACCATTAGTAAGTTTGCTGATGATACTAAACTTGGAGGTGCTGTAGACTCTCTTGAGGGACAAGAGGCCTTGCCGAGGGCTCTAGCATTGGTCAATCATCAATGGCATGAAACTGAACAAGACCAAATGCCAGATTCTGCACCTGGGGCCGAGTAACCCATGACACAAATCTAAACTGGGAGGGGACTGGCTGGAGATCAGCCCTGCAGAAAGTGGTCTGAGGGTACTGGATGACAGGAGGCTCAACAGGAGTCAGCAGTGTGCCCTGGCAGCCAAGAGGGCAAACTGCATCCTGGGGTGCATCAGACACAGCATAACCAGCCGGTCAAAAGAGGTGATTATGCTGCTGTAATTAGCATTGCTAGGGTCTCACTTTGAGTACCGTGTGTAGTTCAGGGTCCCACCATTTAAAAAGGATGTGAAGGTCCTTGAATGCATCCAGAGGAGGGCAACAAAAGTCGGTGAAGGGATTGGAAGGAATGTCCTGTGAAGGGTGGGTAAGGACTCTGGGCTTATCTAGTTTGGAAAGAAGGAGGCTGAGGGGCGACCTCGCTGCTCTCTCCAGCTTCCTGCGGAAGGGTAGCAGAGAGGGAGGTGGTGATCTCTTCTCCCTGGGACCCAGGGCCAGGGGAGGGGGAATGGCTCCAAGCTGTGTCCGTCGGGGGACATTCAGATGTGACACGAAGAAATATTTCTCGACCGAGAGGGTGGTCAAACCCTGGCAGAGGCTTCCTGGAGAGGTGATCGATGCCTGTCAGTGTTTAAAAGGCATTTGGACAATGCCCTTAATGACATGCTTTAACTTTTGGTCAGCCCTGAAGTGGTCAGGCAGTTGGACTACATGAACACTGTAGGCCCCTTCCAATTGGAACAGTCTATTAACTGACCACAGTGAAAGAAAAGTGGCAAGTAATTTAAGATATGCCTCACAATAAATTCACTGCCTCCTTTCTTGGCTTATTAATAGCATTACTTGATTAGAAATGCAGAAAGAATATCATGGTGAAAGTCTACTTGAGAATCACAACAATGATCTCAGGTCTGGCACTCTCACTGTGAATGATACTCAAATGGAAATACAAAGGAAAAAAAAACCCTCTTTGGGTCAATTATCTTGCAGTCTAGGCAAACATCTTCTTCCTTACCTCAGACACACGTATCTGGACACAGCAAGCACATTCTCCGCCTCAACACTACCTTTAGCTCATTTATTTTTAATCTGTTAAAATATCTCTAGTGGAAAGTGAATATAAAATCATTAAAATCACCATACCTCTGAATCAAAATCCATGAGGAGAACAATTTTGTCTCTGATAGAACTGAAAAGATTGTGCTTGTGGATCAACTGGAAGACATCTTTATGCCTCAAAGTTAGGTAAATTTCTAGGGCTTTGCCATAGCGCTGGTCATACGTATACCTGATAAAAAACAATGTTATAATACACGTGATCTTACATATCTTAAGTGTAGGAAAATTACCTATCAAGGAAAATATAAATATACTCTAGGATGTAAAGCTTATTAGGATGCTACTTGATTTGATGAATATCTAAATAGCTGGTGTGATTCACTTTTGTTAAAAGGAAGTAAAACACTGAGCAATATTAATTTCAATTTTGTTTATATCAGACACCACAATTGTGTTCTGACCTGTCGTTCTCTGCATTTTCACTTTCCCGTTTTCAAACCACAGGGGAAGCCACACAAAATGCTAGATTTCTATTTTTGGGAACTAATTGGAACTCACTTCAGAGCTAAAAACCATTGCTCTCTTAAAACTTTGGGACAGACCGTAACATAGCAATAGCAGCAGCTCTGCTTTCTACAAAGAAGCAGTATGAAAAGAACTTAACATGGGAACTGGGTTGAGAAAACTGAAGAGCTTTATCCCTGTACAAAGCAGCCTAGAACCAGATCAGTTTGGGCACATTTTCCAGTCACATATTTCCAGCCACACAGTAAACCTAAATATACTACTTTTGAAATAGAGGGGAAAAAATGCCATTTATTTTCCTAAGGGTAATGCTGAAATGCACTCTTCACAAAAGAGGCTTCCTATGACAGCACAAAGAGGAATGCTAGCTATTTGTTTTGGAAAGCGGAGTAGCAAATCCAATCTTATACTAAACTCTTTGCTTTCATACTCAGCATACACTTTATAAGGAAGGGAAAAGAATTGCTAAGCTGTGCAATCAGCAGAGTGGACAGCAGAGAAAGTTGATACTTTGTAGACTGCAGCAAAGCAGATATTTCTGTTAAGAGAGTTAGACAAATATTTATAAACTAGAGTATACTATTTCAAACTTATTTTTTGTAATAGGAGTTTAAAATTATACTCACAATTCTGCAAGTGTTCGCAGCAATGTCCTGTTCTGTGGATCTTTCTTCAGGTGATCCATCACAGCTTGAACTATGATTGTGTTGTTGTAGAGATCTCCAGGCCACTCTTTTATCAGGGTTGCAAACCCCTAAAAGTATAAGAGATTGTAACAGAAATAGAAAGAACTGCCTAAGGAACATTTCAAAACATCAAAGCTTCATCTGAGCCTCTGAGATGATACCTGCTGTGCTTCACCTCTAAGCCACTTTTACGTGCCCACAGACGTGCACGGTGCAGAACACAGGTTTTCCTTCTTAGGGCAATGTTATTAAGATTCATGAAGCTGGGTGTCTTTCAGGTGCTGTATGCTTTCCGCACCTCAACCACTTGTGCTACATTAAACAAACTATAAATAATAGTATTTATTAAAAGTAACCAATCTCACAGCATTTGCGTGTTCTGAAGAACATTCCACTTATTATCTTAAAAGCTAAACCAAAATTCATCTTTTTAATCTTTTTATTATCATTGAATTTTCCATTGATAATGTTTGCATACAACAGAGAATTTGCTATCAGAGTTCTACGCTGCCAAGGGTGTTTTGCTGAAAATAGCGATTACATGTGGACACATCAGGTACCTCATAGTCACTCTCCAAAAACTCGTGCAGGACCATTTCATAGATCAGAGGTTTCAGAACTGGATCTCGTCTGGGCAAGTAACGACTAATTGCCTATAGGAAGAAAGAGAACAAAGCATTAGAAGGGGAATGACATGTAACCTCCTGATACACTGATGATAGAAAAAATAATTGTTGTGAAACAAAAAACCCCAAACCAGACCTATGCACAAAACATTGCTTGTGGTAAACACCGAAAGTGCTTTATATTCATATTTTTAAGCAGTATCCTAAAGTTATTTGCTTTAGTATTGTACACATTGGAATTATATTAATTATCTGAAAGAACTTTAATTGGAAAGATAGTGGTAAGATACTAGTTACAATGGGAGTATCAGCCATTGCACTTAGACATGTCTGAATATTTACTGCTAGTCATTTAGAAAATAAAACCCACAAAAGACACCTCAGAAGAGGAAAGTTTTCAAAATGCATTTTGTCCAGTCTTGATCTTATATCTTATAAAAAGGTCTAAGCATTCATTAGCCAAAAAATGTGTACTTATGACTTACTGTGAGGTCATTACATTTTATGAAGAGTTCTGTTTTGCCAGCTATTTTTACATACCCAAATGAAAATTAATTTGAGAATACATCTCTCCATGGAAAAGGTGAAGGCGTGTGATCTGTTGCTCTACAGGAAGTGTTAAAGAACTGCGTTCTGGCAGGCAGGAGACAAGAACCTGCCAGAATGAATCACCTCATACCCTGGAATTTCAGCACAGCATCTTATTAGCACTATTATTCCATGCAACTAGAGGCCAAGGTTATTACCACCTGCCAAAATAATCCCTACTGCTACCAGCTGTGTTGGGACTTTGGGGTTTGTAGCTGAAGGCCTAACACTGATGAAATTCCTCCAAACACTCAGAGATGTTGCCTGTTGCCCCCTAATGGCACATGGTTCAGTAGCATTTTGTTCCTGAAGTTCCTTGAACAAATTAAGAGAAATAACATCTCACTACATAATTTTTTTTGCAATTTTACAGACAGCAATGACTATTCACCACAAATTCTCCTAGTATTTAAACCAAAACAATTGCCTAAGTTACATATTTCATTAAAGTCTTCCATCTGTAGGTGAAAAAGGAAGTAAAAATAAAAGACCAATAAAAAAAGCATTGTTAATGACTTTGCAAAAATTAAAAGTTCATTGCTCACAGGAGACCCCTTCTCTCCGCACGCTGTTTGAGCTTGGCCAGTCTTTGAAATGTAGCACGCTGCCAACATCAGCTCCTACCGTCTGTCGCAGAATTTAATAGCTAACTTAGGGCACAGTCTTGCCAGCTGCCCTGAGGAATCATATTCCTGACCCCATCATAAATAAAGCCTCTTCCGACCATAAAGAAAGCAAGCTGGACATCTGCTGGAAACTTGAATGCAGAGGACATTCTCCAACAGCTGTTTTCAAACTCACTTTCTACCCTCCTGTCACCTCCTAAAAGAACAGCCTTACCTGACAGGCTTTGCTGCAACTCTTGGCTGCGGTTTGGCCGCACAGCAAGCTGCAGAGCGGTGCAGCTGCCTCGTTGTGTGGGGGCCAGGCTGCCTCGGTAAGGAAATCTCTCCTGCCCCAAGTCCCACTGCTTTGAAGGAAAAGCGCAACCACCTCCTCCGGTTTGGCCTCCAAGCTCAGCAAAGACTGAGAAGCATCCAAGTTATTTTTAAGCCTATGCACAAAGGTGAACTAAGTCCTAGGCTGGCGGTTACAAACTCTTCCTGTTTTATTTGTAAGCAGTAGTTAAGGACCGACGTCAGACAAAAAAGCTCCAGAATCAGGATGCCTTTATATCAATTCCTGAGCCATGTGGTGAAAGTGACTTTAAATTAAAAAATGATACTATATACAGAAATATTTCTTATTTTATTTCTTCTTAAGACCTGCTTTCAGACTTTTGATCAATAGGTATAAGGACGGGGTATACACAAGAAAGCCCGTGTAAGAGTTGACATGATACAGCCTAAAACATCTCACCAATAAGCCCAAACCACAATTATTTATTCCTCAGAGGATACCTATGAACTGAAAGGGGCTGTCTGGATAATGCTGCTCTATGCTATGCCCATCAGAGTCAGGTGAAGTCTTTCACGTGTCCTCTAGCCAACATCTGGTCATTAAATCATTGCTGCTGCTAGCTGATCATCCTGCACCCCTGCTGAAAGTCACTGCTGTCACAGCAGAGTCAAGAGAATGGAGCATATCCCTCATGCCACAATGGCCAGCACTCGCAGAGTTTGGCATCTTCCTCCAAAATCCACCTTCCTCAGCTGTTTGAACTGAGACATTGGATTTTATGCTGAAGTAACTTGTGCACAACCATGTAATTCCACCAGGCCACTGCTGCTGGAGGAGGAGAGGAGCAGATCATTGCAAAGCTCTAAAATCTTCAAAGTGCCATAACAAGGTTTGCTAGAGGATATTCACCGAAGACAGGACAGACATCAAGATACCAAAATGCAGCCTCTGGTAGCCAAACAGGACCTTTTAGTAGAGAAGACTCAATAGCCCCCTAAACCCACAAGCAAACAGATAACACACACATCCCCCAGGCTTTGACATTGGGGTATCACTACTTAGTCCCTCTGCAGGAAGGGAAGGTTAAACCTTTACTTTCACTGCCACCTCAGTTATTGGTAAACCATGTTATATTCGAAACATCAAATTTCAGGTAACCACTTATATGCAGTACAAATTCTTTAAGAAAATTCCCTTTCAAAATACAATTTGTCTCCAAATCTCAAATACTGTCTCCTCATCGGAGCTTTAAGCCACTATATCTCAGTTTTACGCTACTGTGTTTAATACCTGCTGGTTGGATAAATAGGTAAAAATTCCAAATAGCACAGAATTGACCCCAAGCATTTCAAGAACGACTTCATTTAGATCTGGCTTAACTTAGTTCATCCTTTATGATATTCTGGTATCTTTAGGAACTTGGGAAAAAAGTTATGCAATTGCAACAGTAAAATAAGGAAGGCATCTTCTACAACTGCAGCTTGAAGCTGAATAATGTAACGGACTGCATCTTATGTTTTTCTAAGTCTGCTTTCAAGGGGCTGAAAACAACCAACTGTTTAGAAAGGCAGTAATTTAGCAGAGATGTTTTTGCAGCAAACCTGCAAATATTTTTCTGTTTTACAGTCTGCTGGATGACATAAGTGGAGACAAGAAAAACATCCATTCCAGACACTTGCATCTGAAAAACAAAATAAAGCCAAAAGGACTAAGCAGCACTGTATCAAAATTTCACCTGTACCTGCACTCAGGTCCTTTATTGGATTGAAATAAAGAGACAGAAACATGAGATTTCATCTTCCAAGGTGGCAAAGAGTGCACCGAACCACTAAGAACTCATACAAAAGGCAAGGCTCTTCTTGCACTGGCATGGCTCTAAAACAAAAGCCAGACGTTTCTGAAAACCATAATGCTGAAACACTTTCGCTCTTTGAACAGAATTAAACAGCTCAAAAGGAGCAAGGGACTGCATGCTGGGAGATCTTAATAATATGTCCTTTTTGGCTCATTGAGTTTGAATAGAAAGACATAAAATTCAGAAATAAATGTACATGCGTTACCAAAGGGAGTGTGCATAATGTTTTCTACTGGTTTGGCAGTGACAGAACTACAGCCTTATGTCCCGGGCAATTTATTAACTGAGAATCTCACATTAAACGCGTACCGTTATGGTAGCTGGCTGGCGACCGGGGAAAACACAAGACAGGGCAGACTGCTCCTCTTTCTTGCCACCATTTCTAGCACACAACATAGGTTCTCCCTGTTGCTTTGCAATTTAACTATTCTTTGATGCTTAAAACTATGGCTCTGTTGCAAGGGACTTGGATTTTCTGGAAAGGGCGGCACCACAGAGGCTATTTTCCTGAAGACTTGGGGTAGGATTTTTCAGGCCATACTGGAAGGGAGTGAAAAATAAATGGGAAAGATGTATTTAACTGTAAGCATCTTTGCAAGTAAAGGCCTTGGGGGTGGTTCTTTTACCTGGGGGCTGCCAACAAGCTAAAAATAGGTAGCTGAATACCTGAATGTGCTATGCCTCTAACCCTGTTTTGGGGCTTGTTAACATGTACGCATAAATCTCACAGACAACTGTACAACTAGAGATCTGGGGCAGGAATTTCAAGGACAGCATTGTATCCTGCTACCACACTAGGACCATTAAATGCAATCCTTTAGATACTTGGTCAAAACATGTGGGAAATACAGCATGCCAATTACTTGAGTGCAGAGAGAGAAATTAACTTACCTTAAGCTGACCTATTTCTTTAAACTTGTAAACTTCAAATTCCCAGAGTTCTGTGTTTTTGCCAAGAATTTTCTGGCATTTTCTGGAAGGAAGATGAAAGGGGAGAGAACAAAAGTAGGTACATAGAATAATACAAATGTGACAGAATTACTGTAAGGACTCCTTTCTTCGTTCTTCTCCCTATTAAGACACTTTCAAAGGTGACTTATTTTGGCAGCCATTGCTTCAAGCAGAGTATGCCAGGTGGTACTCTTTTCAGATCCTACAATTTTGTGGCATCCAAGAGGACTTAATTGCTTGCTATGCATTCACCCTCATTGATTAGGGCCATATTAGCTTTATGACTGAAGTTTTTAAATCTCAGCTGAGAAAAATTGAGCGCTTACAGAGATATGTTTACACTTACACATACATGAAAACACAAATCTTAGGTAATTTCTGATCCTTACTTTAGATACCCATATTTGACATTTTTGTTTACACTCATGTAACCACAAATTATTTTCTGATGGTCTTACATGTAATGATACACTAATTATCAACATCCAAAGAAAACCTTAGTTTTGAAAATCTAGCATGACTTTGAAAAAATAAAGGCTGACTTTCAAAAATATATATGTCTCAGTTCTCGTTAAACTTTAGAAAATTTACAGTAACTTTTGGTTCACTACAAGTAAGAAAATATAGCGCACAGTAATATATCTGTATATTTTGAAACTTCAGAAACTCCAGAACACATAGAAAATCAACATCACAAAATACTTCAGAATCAATAATTTGCTTTTGCTCCCCGCCCCCAAGACACACTTCAGCCAGCAAAGAAAATCTTTGTTAACAAGTTACCGAGCAGCCAGGTTGTACTCTCCTTTCTCCACTAGGTGATTTATATAGGCTAAGCCAATGTCCTAAAGGGAATAAAAATAAAGAATTAGTAATAGAGGTTCGGAAGTCAACCGCTTGACTGCCACAATAACTATCACTCCAGCTGCATGCACTGCTGTTAAGTCAAGCACCAGGCCCTAAGTGGATACCCCGAGTTCTCCTGTAGATGTAGGGCTCACAGAACAGTCAACAGAAAATACCTGCCTAGACCATTCCTGGGTTCAAATTAAGATACTCTTTTAAATAATCCTCATAACCTCATTGACGCTGAGAAGACTGTGCCAGCTCTACATATTAAGGATTGTTCAAAACACATAGCTGACCATTCAGTGCTTGGATTAGTTATGTCAACAAGAAAACCACTGTCTCACTGTATGAGACACTTTCTTTGTCAACACAAAGTTTTCAGGGGGAGAAAAATGTTGGTTAAGAATATAAATCCTAGTGCTGCTCCAGAAAGTAAAGGAATTACCAAGAATTTAGCATGATTATTACATACTAAATTGCCCTTCTCAAAAGTTTATTACACAAGTCAGCTGTAAAATTCTTCTGGTGGGTGTTTAATATATTAAAATTTTGGTGAAACAGCCATGCCTTCTGCTGTAATCTCAACACTGGTGTCAAGGTCAACACAGCCCAGTGTACCCACTGCATAACTTAAGAATCACAACGCTAAAAGCACACTGTTTCCAGGAAGGGGAAGAAAAAAAAAAAGAAAAAAAAACAGAGGAAAAAAAAGAAAAATAGAGCTGTACAATGAAAAAGAAGTCATTGTTTCCTACAAAAATAAACATTTGGGTCTTCTGAGTCACAACATAAATTTTTTGATCACGGACAGTACTGAGCAGAGCAGAATATGAGCAGAGGTATCTAAAACTTCAATTGGTCAATCTACTACACAGTTTAAAAAAAAAAAGTCATGCACATACACCAGATTTTTTTATTTCCTTCCACTGTAGGAACCACCTTCATATTTTCAACTTCATCATTCTCAAGGATGAAGATTTCTCGCAGCCCTTCTCCTGTGGGCCTGCTCCCCAGTGAGCAGAGAAGACAGCAGAAGAACTGTAGATCTGTGGTTGTTTAGGACCCTTGCATTCTGCTCAAAAGGTACAGAGGGGCAGTGATCATTACTGCAACCGAAAAAAATCCCCAAGACCACCAGACTTGTCAGGTCGTGTGAGTGTGGTGTCATTGGTCTGATCATTGCTGGGCAGTGAGAACATGAGTTGTTTTAAATCCCTGTACCACTAATCCTTCACTTAGGGCTTGATGTCAACGTTTTTTCCCTCAACACATTCCATGGGTTTTGCATTAGAGACCAAACACTCAACAACTCTGCTTGTATATACCCACAATGAATTTCACCCTAATGGAGCAAATTTCTGTAAACCAAGAGAAAAGCTTTTTCTTTTCTTTCTTCCCCTCCTAATATATTGCCAGGACCTCCTTTAAGAATTCTTTACATCTTTTGCAAGAGTCACAGAGCAGCTAAATCATACGAACTCTGTGATAGGTGATGGCATACCATTAGGTCTTGATTTAACTTTTGGACTACACAAGAAGAAAAGAATTTTTAAGACATATTAATACATAGTGTGCATATTATAGCAGTAATTTGGCTAAAAGTTAAACATATCTTCTAATGCCTTGTACTTAAATACAAACTTCCATTTAAAGAAGTAGCAGTATTAATGAAATATCAATGTGTTCACACTGAGGCCAATTTAAACAAACAAAACCAGAGCTAAAGTTAGCAACGCTTTTGTGGCTATTACATTATTCCCCCTTCGTCTTAAACATTGATACCCTTTGTCGCTCTATGAAAGGACTATAAACATGGGAAATAACCATAGAGGAGAAAAGTATCTTAACTGTGTATAATAATGAGAATTGCAAAGCAACACGAGAGAACTAGATGTGGAACTTGCAACTGAATTTCAATAGCATTTAAAAGGTCTTCCAACTGCACCTTTTAAACTCCTGCCAAAACCCTGTCACATGTACAAGGTAAAAGTTAAAGAGAAATGTGTCACCCCCCACCCAATCCCTAATACTGTAATATTGTGTGTTACTTGAAACAACAGCAAGTTTAATACAACAGTAAAAGCAAACAAAAACCCCATCAGCAGAGAAGTGGAACTCTCTTCTTTTTAATGTCAATAGCACCTTCATAAAATCCAGACCCTTTCGTGTTTCACACACTTAACATTCCTGTTCTGTAGCTGAAACCAAGAAATCGACTGCTAGGTGGAGTATTCCTAACAGCTATTGTCTGGTGCAATACAGAACAGGGGATGTGTTTGTAGCATCTCACAGCACTCTAAAAGACATCAGATATTTTGTTTTGAATAGAAGTTTTGAGACTTACCAAAATCTTATGCTTTTTTATGGTTTTCTGACTGATCTCAGCTGCCATCAAAGCTTCCTATATTCAAAAAGTAGAAAACAGAGATACTGGCCAAATACACAAACTTTCAATACAGAAAGCTCTAGAAATGAATAAATCAAGTATTTTTCAGAGCTCGGTGTTTGAAGCACTAGAATTTTTAATGCCACGGTTGGATGAACAGCTTTGAATTCATACTCAAACAAAAGCAGTCAACCAAAGAGAAAGCTACTTTTGTTTCCATCTGGGTTCACTCCACATTACTATATTAGGATCAAAATGCAAGATTACAACAAAACAGACAATGCAATCGCATTGGATCATTTTCAAATGAGAACACTTCACTATCAAAACCTGTGAAAAAAATCATCAGGAAAGGGGGTGGGGGAAGGATACTTTCCACTTTCCCAACCCAAAAGTCTCCTCCAGTCAGATTGATTTATATTTAAGTGTCATTTGCCGTTCTTCTACTTTTTTCAAATGTACAGAAGCAAAGCTGGCACTTTTACAAACAAAATGAAACCTTTAACATCCATCATAACACAGAAGCTATCTACTACCTTGAATGGCTTTCACAAAGGCACACGCGCAGCTGTCACTTGCAAATTACTGGAGTCTTCAGGGACCAAATGCTGTGATTTACATAAACTGCAAAACTGCACTCATCATACGAGTTTGCTATTCAGATGCAAAAGCATCCACAAGGATTTAAACAAATCTGCATGAAGAATATCATGATTGCATTAACAAAAGGAATACGTGCTGAATAGCTTTCCCACTTTTTTTTTTTTCCCTTATAACGGGCATCCAACAAATAACACGTACATAGGAATTTGAAGTTACTTTACACATCGTAGCAAGTGTTCTAAGTCATTAACTGCAGGACATCAGAATCCAGAACACTAGGTGCATGTTGATATTGTCTGTAAGAATTTACTATTGCTTTAGGTGTTTAAATATACATGCTTGAACACACCAATATCTACACAACCAAATACTGAGCTGCTTTTTTCCAAGGGAGCTGCATATCCTTGTTTTTAGTATTGGCTCTGCTTTTTTGTGAGTAACGCTACTTTCAGCACCAATTCCTACAGTTTGAAACCACATGATTTTACTTTTAAAAACTTCAACACTGAAGGTAACACAGAACAATGCACAGTACCCTAACACAACCTTTTCGTTCTATAGTGGAAGTGACATAGAGTAGGAAAAATCTAATATTGCCCAAGTCCATTTCCCTTCCCTCTTTATTTGGGATAGATCTAGAAAAATAACCATGTGGCTCATTAGTTAACTGTGCTGCTGCTTTAAAGCCAAAAAATAGCTTTAATAATTTTCAGTGACAACTAATACATTTCACATCTGATGCTGAGAGCAGTATTCACAGCATTGAATTCAGCTACCTCACTTGGGTGCAATTCAGATGAGTTGTTTCAGTAGAAAAACTAACTCTCCAGAGAGATGGAAAGATGTATAATCAACTCCTCCTCTTTACAAGCATTTAGTCAATGACTGTAGGTACAGAAACTATCCAAGCCAAATGACCTAGCAAAGTTCATCATCCCACCCCAATTTCCAAACCAGGAAAGCCTGAAGGAAAGAATGTTGTAAAAATTACTTCGTATTTCTTCTTTTCAAGAAGCCAGTCAATGTGATCATCTTGGTCCCGTTCTTTAGCCACAACCACATCTCTTGGACTGATGATATAAAAGAGTGATTCACCTTCCGAATACTCTGCAAATGCATACACAGTTTTATTATTATTATATTGTCCTTAACTAAAGCCCTGCTTTTTAGTACACCCTTGAGGGGAATTTAAAAAGAGGAGATGCAAGGCAGACAGCAAGGCTACTCCTGCAGAACATGCTTGTTTGGGAAGCTGTATTCTCCAATAAATTAAACCTGGTTTAAATGGCAAAATAGCTTTAAAAAAAAAAATCACTACAGCTTATTGCAAATTCTGATTCATCCACTATGTGTAAACTTTATGATGGTTTAGAACACATTATTATACTTTTAGAGGACTATTACACTACATAGCCTGCAATAAACTTATCCTCCCCATCAAGGTCAAGGCCATCAAAAGCATAAATGATAGATGCCATAACCCCTGGGGACACAGCACATCATTACAGCAATGCATTTGCAATGCTATAAGTTAAGGTTATACATATAATGCATTTGCTTATACCGTAAGCCTTTATTTTTGAGTAAGCTCAAAGTAAAAAATGTACTTAAAGCTAAAATCAAACACAGAAGATGACTGTTCAGAATAATTATTATTTCCACAGAACACATGAAGAAACACCATCAATATTTTGTAGGTACACGAAAGAAAACCATCCCCCATCCTTCATCTGTATCTATACACGCATACAAATACACTCCTGAACTGATAAGCAATTCACAAAATAATGCTTGTTTTAAAGCAATCCAAAAAATTTACACTTGTCAGATTAACTAGAATATTCACTAAACGTAAAAAGTACAATTGTGGGCATCAATGTTCTGCTTAGGGACATGTATAAAGAAATCCCAATTCTATTGATAGCAGCAGAGATGTTTTGGAGATCAGGAGGAGATATACTATATTTCTAGTGGCTTAAGGGCATCGATGTACACAAAGAGGCCTGCCAAGCCTATGATTTGAAGCACGCTGCCAGAGAAGATGCTTAAAAATCAGATTCATGGATTTTAAAAGCCAGAAGGAATGTTTCTGTATAACACAGGCTATATAATCTTCAACAAGGAATTCTCCATCAGCTTTGCCATGCGTCTTTCTGAACTACAACACATATATCAGAAAACCATCCCATCTTATTTAAAAGACTGGTATATATTGTGCCAGGGCTTAATCTCCCAGCCTGTTACATAATTAAACCTATCTTCTAGGCTGAACTTGCCAAACTCCAGTTTCTATTCATTACGTTTTACCATTCTGGGGTCTGTTATACACCAACATCTTTGTCAGTACAGGGAAGCTAAATATCAGTGTGTCCATTTTAAGTTGATCCAGATGCATCTTACTGTTGGAATAACATTTATTCTATCTTTGTCTCTAAAGCAGCTTTTCCAGACACTGTATCACTCATTTCACTACTCCTGAAGCCCTTTGTGTTCAAAGGGACACAAGAGCTCCTACGGATCACACGCTGAATAGATCTCCATCAAGGACACTGCCTTCCAAGATACTGGACTTTACATGAGATCTATATTTCTGCCTTCCCCAATATGTCTGGCTTAATAGATGACATTACAAATATGCACATTTGTTTTCTTTCATGTGACGGGTTCTTGTGGATTTCCACTTTACACTTCAGTGTCATAAGCAGCTATAGACAGTTATTCAAGATGAAATAAAAATGAAAAAGGAGGCTAAGTTCTCCCAAATCCAGTCTTTTTTAACCAAGTTATGAAAATAAAACAAAACAATATTAAGAATACCCACCTAAATGATAATCTCTACATTCATTTTCCTGAAATCCTCGTACTGTTAATGCATCAGAAGAGATCTCTTCACAGGACTCAGGTAAGGGTTGTACAATATCCAGTCTAGGCCTCGCACAACACTCCACTTCCTAGAAAAAGGCAAACATCTTAGTTGCATGCTGCACAATTTACCTTAGAAATACCAACTGGTGGTTATCTACAAACAAGGCTGAAATTCAACCACTACAAACATTCCTAAAGGTCCAGCACTTTGCACTGGGTACTCAGTTGCGAACCATACAAGTCACAAAGTTGTGCTCCACAGAGCAGCTGTAATCACATCTGAAACACAAAGGAAAGTTATTCCTACTCTTGGCTTGCTTCCCTTGAACAGATCAGCGCAGAGAAGAAGATGTAGACAAGACACAGATCTAACCCTTCCCCTGAGTTTGCTCACTATTTTTCTGCTCTTGGTCACAGAAGTTTTCAGGGTTATCAAGATGATCATCAACCATTGCATTCAACAAGCAACAGAACTACTTAAGACACATTGTCAGCTCCGCTCAGGCCATAAAAGACAGAGCTCTACGAATCAATGATATTCTGACACCAGGATGAACTTGGGGGTGTTTTTAGCTGGTGTTTAAGTTTGTACTTCTAAGTGTCCAGCAGCAGTAGGGGAAAAAAGTGAATCTGAGAATAATCTGAAACTCTTGCTGTGCTGATGATCTTAGAGTAACGTGAACTTTCAAGTGCAATGTAGGTGGTTATGGTAAGACAGCATCATGGATTTTCATCTAAGGGAAACCACTGTCTTCAACTTGCTGCATTTTTAATTAAGTCAAGGTCCAAGATAATCCCTTATTTTCTACTTCTGGCTGTGAATTAACAAAATACATAATGAAAGAGCAAGGAGATAGATAAAGTGGATTTACGCAGCTCTATACTACTCATTCAGCAGCAGCACCACACAGGTCTCTTCTCAATTAAACTGTTCCAGCACAAGTGGAAAAAAAAAAAAAAAAATCAAAGCAAGCCATGAGTTCAATTCTGATCCAATTTGTAACAAGTTGGAAGATGTCATTTGAAAGCTGTGAAATCAAGTATGGGAAGAACAGTGCTCCTCACAATCCAACAGTGTTTGTAGTAAGCAGCACTTCAGCTGCAGGCTCAGGCAGCCTCAGCTCCACAGAGCCAAGACACCAACAGAGGAGTTCCTACCACACACCAAGGCACAGACACGGTGCCAGGGAGGAGAGTACTTTTGTTTCCTTGCTAGAGTTACTCAGAGGACTGAGAAGTTACCAAAGTCCAGCATTCAGAGTTTGTTTAAAAGGCTAATTAAAAGCAAATACATGAAAAAAATCTCTTTCCTATGTTCTATTACCATTATATCACACGAAATTCTCTTTTCATCTTTCTTTCCTGAAGCAGTTAGAATGACTTTAACCTTTATTAGTCACTACCTCCTTTATACTAGCTCCTTTCCTATGCTACTTCTTCATTAACAGTAGCTTCCCCATTTCCTTGCTTCCTTGCATTTCAACCCACCTTTTCCTCCCCCTTCTTTATCCAATTTGTTTGCCTCCTTTTCTTTAACCAACTCTCCTGCAGTAGAGGACTACTGTACCAAGTCTCTTGGGAAACACTGCTGTGACATTATTTTTCTCCTTAATATAAATAAAGAAATAATAATCTGACATCCTGCAGCAGAGCTAGAAGCTAACCCTATTGATTTCAGCAGGCTCAAGCATTTGTTTGAACCTACAGCATTTCATTGCCTAGCAACTTGTGCACCCAGTTGCTTAAGGTTACTATGGTGATGGTTGTCTAATGCAGACGTACTATCAAAAAGATGATCAAGAGCATCTGCCATTCTCACACCACAACTTCAAGGATTTCCTCCACTGCCTTGCCTTTTATTTGGCAATATGAAATAAATGTTGGAGACAGACACAGCACTCGCCTGCGTGCAGTAAAAATGGCTGACATGAATTCTAATTTCTACCTATCTACACACGTATCTGGGTGTACACACCTAAAGGTCTTGGAAGCGAGGGAGACAATGATGCCACTTGCTTGCAATCATGCATCCCGCCCCCACCACAGTGACTCCTATTGCTTGAGTTGATCAACTTGACTACTCTCGTGTCTTCTAAGATGCAGTGGCAGCAAGCCTCTCTTATGGCTAGAAAAGATCCTTTATTTTGTCTGGTGCAGAAATAGCAGAAAGAGAGAGACAAAAGGAGAGAGAGAGGAAAAAAAGAATGAAAAAGGAAAGAGAAAGACTATCTAGAGCCTTTCCTTGCTTCCTGCAAGAAACAAAGGAACCCAGACAGGACTTCTGAAATTTAAGTACATTGGTCTTCAACATCACCTCCACTGATCTTATTTTATAGGTCAGAGAAGTTTCAAGCACTGTTCACTACCAGCTGCAAACTGTTTCACAGATAATCAGATCTACGTGACTAGTTTAAGCCCCAACTCACAGGGCAGTTTAGTGCTGCGAAGAAACTGTAACATAAAAACAATTACCGTTTTTTCGGAAATCTCCTTTACATATGAAAGTATAACAAGCTGGTCACAGAGAGGCGCAAGTCCACTGATATAGAATTCAGTGTCGAACTGGAAAACTGAAATACAAGAAAGACAACAGATTGTTAAATAAATGAATGTGTACGAACTACTCCTTAAGAAAAACATACAACTGATTTTCAGTGGTAATCAACAGCATGCAGTAGCACTTCAGAGAAATGAAGACTCAATACATATAACAAACCTACAGACTTCCCAGTTGGATCAGCAAGATGAAAAATTACATTTAACATTAAATTCCATTAAAGCTTGCAAGAAGAAATGTTTGTGCTCCAGGACACGCTAGAGATGAAACATTTGAAATGAATGGTTGGCCTGATTTTCAGTTATCACAATGAAAAAAAGGAAGCAAAACCAAAACCAAACTCAATAAAATAGGCAATAAATAGAACATTTTCATTGGTTTGCATATTCACAGCAAGTTCGCGTGGCTATAGAAGAATCACACCTGCTACACCTATTGGTATAATATATGAAACCATAAAGATCATTATTTATTTATCATCACTTTAAACATCACAGGAAGATTTACAGATACCCTCATTACAAAGAAAACATATGGTTAAATAGTCCCTTTTCTTGTTAATAAAACTGAAAATGTGATTTCCTAAAATCGAGACAGTTACATGACAACTATTTTGAGAAAGAGAAAGAAGAAGAGCTGAACCGTATTTAAAAAAAGGCTCATTAAAGCAGACCTCTGCCACAGTAGCTATTTAGTTTTATTCTGCTGGATTTCCAGTGCAAGCATTCAGCATCTGAGAAGCCCTTTTTGTGGGCTCCTCTCTCATGGGGCCCAAAACAGGAATCATCCAAGTGCTTATATTAGAAAAAACTTAAATCAATGAGCTTTTTAAAAAAATACCAGATTCATCATCACTTTCTCTCAAAACATGTTTTTAGGAGAATCTAAACATAAGTAGGGAAAAAAAAAAGTTTCCTTGCTTACTGATTAGCACGCTACATTACTAATACCTTCTGTTTATTATAATAGTTACTAATTATTTTAGTAAAGCAAAGATAAAATGCAGCATAATGACACTAAAAATAAAGCTAATTTTCTTTAGCTAAGGTAATAAGAAGGAACAGGAGAAATTATTTTATTCTCCTTTAGCAGGAGGACAATTCTGTCAAGTAAAGTACAGATTTGACACCTGTCTCTCAATGAACAAGCAAATACTGCTTTTTCTCTTAATGAGTGGTGACACTTCAACATCACTGGGTGACCAAAGCATGGCACAAGGTTAGAGCACTCAATCCATTCTAGGAGAGAACAGGTTCACATTTGTAATCCTGTACATAATTATTTTGTTCTAGTCTGCAAGACTGATGAGACTACTTTGACTGTGTCACATGTTGCACTGAGTGATGATTTAAAACAAACCACGTCAGAAACATCTACATAATACATCTTATTCCCAGTTCACAATTTAGCATTTGGCATTTTATAAGAATATGGAAGGCAGGAGGAAAAACATAGAAAAGAAAAAAAGCAAAGTCAAACCCATAATGCTGGCTAGAAGGACAAGTAAAGAAACTTTCAGTTTTAAAAAGTGACAAGAAAAGGCTATCAGAGGCATATAAAATATTGCGGCTTGAATTTGGAGAGGAAAACGGCATGGTGAATGGTATCTTTATAAAGATTATGGGGACAGTTTTAAAAAAACACGTGCATTTCTTTGACTTTCATTGGAACTTCAGATCTTTTGCCAGTGAAAATGTTTGTAACGTGCATGTAATGGTGTATTTAGGATCAAGCAGTAGTACTGTTCTGCGAGACAAAAAAATAAATAATAGTCATCACTTCACGCTTTGTTTCTAAATAGAGTTTAGTTTTCTTGGTTTCCCTTCCAGCTTTCTCTCAGCTCATCCTCCTCAAGAGGCCTTGTTGAAACACAATGCTCTAGCTCTGCTGCTACAGCCTTGAACAAAGAATAGCTGCCATAGACAGTGCTTCTTGACCTGATAAAAACCTTTGATGCAGCTAATCAAAAAAGTTTTACTGAAAAAAATTATAGGAGTTATAGCTGTACAAAACACTAATAGGTTAATTTGACTTACTCTCTGGACACTTTGTTGTGATGAAGGGAGAAAAAAAAATCCAACACAGAGGCATTGCAGAAATGCTGTTAATTTGAAAAGGATCCAAAACAAAACAAACCATATTGAAGTAAATGGGAATGACTGAGGTCTGGCCATGTGTCATACGTGTTTATGCCTGTCATAAGAGAAGATGGAAGATATGCTCACAGTGGATCTACTCTATGTTCACCATCTATGTACAGTTGTCAAACAAATTACCAGGAAGCAAAAAGAAGAAACCTGTAATTTTTTTTTTTTGTTGTTCATTAAATGAAATATATGACATACACCACAGAAATAGTATATGCTACATTCTTTACCCAAACTCTATAAAGCAACTTTCTCTGGAATTTAAAGACACACACACATGCAGTAGACTGAAACTAAAAGAAATCTATTTCATTTAATGAAATCTCAAAAAGCAGCCCCTGCCTTTCCACTGCAGATTTATAGAGTGAAATTCTGGTTACAGTCAGAGGTTTAGGCCATTGATTTCAATGGGGACAAGATTTCAACATTGTCTTTTGGGAAAGTAAGCAGGAAGCTGAACTAGCATGCAGACAATTAACATGAAACTTAACGTGTAGAGAAAAAGAAGGAATTTTTTTTTTTAATTCCCTATGATGTATGAAAGAAATGGAAAAGCCAACGCACAAGCTAATTTTTAGGTAGCCCACTTGTATATCAATAGCAGCAGAGCCACAAAGATCCATGAACTGGCCCAGCTTACCCAGAACTCTGGTGCACTGCTAGCTGCTGGGGTGATGCCACTACACATTCCCAACGTACATTTTAACCAGGTACTTCAGGCACATCTGCAAAACTTCTAGTCATCGCTGCAGGCCATGCACATTACGCTGTACTGCATACCCTTAAGTGTTTTCAAGATGGTATCTCCACCACCGGTGCTTTTACTGAGCTAAGTTATTTACACAAAACAAAACAGTATACAAAATGGCATGTTTTGATTAGCTATGATCATATTCATGCACTTGCATTTGATATAAAATATAAAAACTTTTTTTTTCCCCCCTCCCCATAGTATGTGCATTCAGTTCTAGCTAGAGGACCAGAACAGGTCCCATATAAGTATCACTTAAGCTGTCTTTAGATGAACAGACATAAATCACAAAGCATAAAGATATATACATGGTATATTTTTATTGAAATAAAAGAATATTCTTACTTTTAGGTGTACTATCCAAGATAATCCTTGAAGAAAATACAAATCTCACATATTTTTAACTGTCCTATTTTTCTCTGAAAATCATCATATACAAACACCTGCCCCGGCATTTAAGTATTTCCTTACAAATGGCTTTTATCTTCCATAAGACTCTGCAACAGTCTTCATACATTCCAATTTCCAGGGCAGACCTGCCTCTGACTAGAAGCCTGAGCAGAAAGCTCAGGATGTGCCCAGTTAAAGAAATGCCAATTGTGACTTGGAAGGAGCTGTAAACTTCTGGGGAGAAGCAGTGAAGTAACCCACACAAAGGTCCTTTATTTAGGTTTGAACATCCTTAGAACTCCCTCCAAATTTTCTACCCAAACTACTCTATGTGAAATCAAGCAACTATTTACCTAATCATGTAGATATTTTGGCATTTTAATGGACTATACTTTCCCATGAATTTTAGTACAAAGAGCAGTAGGGTAAGACTAAAATTGATGGCAGGTCCTATACATCAATGATTAGAAAAAACTGATGCTTCCAAACTTGGAATTCACACCCTCTACTATTTATTTATAATCAAAATGGTTGGAAAAGTCATAATCAAATTTATTTTTGTTCAAATATTGAAGGTTCAGAAAAGCTTTAGAGAAAATTTAGCAAACACTAATCAATCATTCTATATCCACCTTTGAATGCCACATGGCAAAGAGGATGAGCATTTTCATTAAAGCAAAGCAGGGCAATGAAAACGACAATGTTAATTGACTATGATCACTGAACAAAAAAAACAACCACCTAGGTTTAAAATCAAAACTCTGTAAAGCCTCTGTCACTGCAAGCTGTTGCCATACTTCTTGCTACCAGCACAGAATGGAAATGAGCAAGAATTTTTCTACTAAAACAGAAGAATTTCTTTCAATTATAGTATCACACTAATCAGAAACATCAGGAAAAAAGCCCACTACCTCATCATGCCAGTAATCATCCATCTGGTGAGGTCTGCTCTTTCAATTAAAAGAGAAAATTGTTTTGTCTACTTGACGTGGTTTAGCCCCAGCCGCTCG